ACCAAAAAAAAAAAAAAAATGATAGAGCAGTGGAGCAGTGTTGGCAAACCTATGCCACATATGTTATTTGTTTTTATTTTAAGACAAATGATGTGATGTATGATTTGTTTTTTCTAAACTAAATCCTCAGCTTTCAGGTTTAAGTGCAGTGTTGGCACTTTGCAATAAATGAGTTTTGGGTTGCAGTTTGGGCACTTGTCTCTTAAAAGGTTAGCCATCACAGAGATAGAGGCAAATTTAAGAAATAATGGTTGAGAATTTTCCAGAATTGATTAATCCTAATAATCTGTAGATACAAGAAGGACAATGATTTTCAGGTAGGATAAATAAAGCCATGAAATCCATATTGTATGCCCAGCATAGTGAAATGATAAAGCCTTGAGTCAAATAAAGACCATAAAGGCACTTGCAGAGAAGAAAGTACCTTCCTAGAAAGGACAACAGTAGCAGTCCCAGATTGGTTTTTGATAGCAGTAATGGAAGCTGAGACAAGGTAATAATAGCTTTGGGAATGATTTCAAGAAACACTGACAAAGAAGGAGACAGTGAGGTAGGAAAGAACAGTAAATTTATTATGCAAGCAGTAACACATGCTGATAGAATATAATTATCATACTAGATTATGTTTCAAGCCATGTGACTGTAGCAGTTTTTGAAATGCCCAAACTAGCGACTTCGTGCTTTTCAGAAGCACTGTGTATGATTTGGTATAGTGAAGGTCTTTATGTTATACACAGATAGGGCTTTTGCTTAAATTGTGGGAAAGGTGGCTCCTGACTTTTTTTTTACTATCTAGTCTTTATGTGTTCAGCTATTTTTCTATTTCTTACATTTCTCTAGGCCTTCTTGTTAATGACTCTGTAGCACTTGAAATTGTTTTCAAAAAGAAAAGGCATTTCTTGTACTTTTGTGTGTTGTATGTTGGCCTGCAGGGTGTGTTCGTTATGCTGGTTGCTCAGGAGATAGCACGTGTTCTCTTATTTCTTCTAAAATGCCTTATTTTAAGCTTTTTGCTAATACCTAGAGCCGTCCTTTATATTTGCTAGTTGATGTTTTTGAATCATGTTTGAGATGTTTAATGACTATGTATGTTTCACATATAACGTTTAGTATATAAACATTTAACATATATAACATATATATAAACATTTAGTACATATAACATGTATGTTTATATACATATATACATTTTCATACATATTACAGTATATGTATAATATTAAATTACATAATTATATGTAAATGTCAGCAAATGTGAAAGAACCTCAGAACAGAATCTTGTAAGAGAAGGTACAAAGTGAATTGAGGTAGCTGGTTTAAGGACTGAGTTCTCTTCTGCAAAAAGGTTGCAATCAACTTCTGCAAAGGAACTGGTTGCTAAATGAAGAATTGTACATAGTATATACATTACAATATTCAGAACAAAGAAGTGGTCTAAGGAAACTCCACCCTGGTGACTTTCTTTTTATTTGTATAACTCTTACATGCAGTGCTGTAGTGTATAACACAAAAGTACAGTGCTGTGCTATGCAGTACAATCAAATATTACATTACTGCATAAATAAGGTGTACTGTGCCAAAAAAAGACGTGGCTGTATCAACAAGATGTACAGAGCTATATAAAAAGATGGGAGTTTGCCTTTTAAAAGTAAGTATTACAAAAATACTGCATTTTCTCTACTCTAGTGTTTTCAAGTTTTTCTTAGTGGTGTCTTGAGCAGCAAATGTTCTGAATTTGTATAAAATCTTATTGTGGTCATAAACATTTTCTTTTGTATTTTCTTCTGGAAGTTTTGTGTTTTTAGTTCTTATATTTAGGCCTGATTTATTTTGTGGTTAACAACTTCCTCAAAACTTAGTGGCTTTAAATGACATTCATAGTCTTCATATCCACAGGTTACACACTGCTTATTCAATAAACTGCAGATCAAAAATATTTAGAAAAATAATTGGCTTTTTACTGTACATATACAGACTTACGTTTCTTTATCTCATTCCCTAAACAATATATTGAATATTTATATAGGACTTACTTTGTATTAGACATGGTAAGTATTCTAGAGTTGATTTAAAGTCAACTGGGGGATGAG